ATCCGATGAACTTTTCATTTATGTAGATCTACATTTCCAGATACAGCTTAAATGATTATTTTCTTATTTCATACTAAGCCTAATACCTGCTTCTATCATATATCCCTTTATCTTTTCTTGCAATGTTGATATAAATTATTTTTTTCTGATACTAATAAAGCTCAATATTTGATTTCGTTGGAATCATGGATTGTCAAGCTTTACAAATAATTTCAGTGATGCATTCATGTGGGTACTGAGTCTTTTTCTTCATTCTAGAGCGCTAGAAGTAGTGATCAGGAGAGAGGAGAAGAACGAAACTCACGGCTATCCGATCATGTTTTAAAATTTTATCTTATGATTTTTCTTTGATTTTTAAGGATGCTGATATCAAAGAAATAAAAGTTCAAGGTTTGTTTTATTGTTTAAAATCGATTGTTTGCATAAAATAAACTTTTAATTTAGTTTGTATATTTGCATTTGATTTATTATATTTAAATGGTGAATCATTGGTTGAAAAACCTTTTCGTGAACGTCGTCGTTTATTACATGAATCAATTCGTTGTATACCTGGTGAACTTGTTTTTGCTGAATCACGTACAACATCAAATATTGATGAAATAAATATGTATTTGGAACAATCAGTTAAAGATTGTTGTGAAGGTCTTATGGTTAAAACATTAGATGATGATGCAACATATGAAATAGCTAAACGATCACATAAATGGCTTAAAGTAAATTTTTTTTGTTCAATTAAACAAAAGAAAATTTTTTTTTTTTGTTTATTTAGTTAAAAAAAGATTATCTTGATGGTGTTGGTGATACACTTGATCTTGTTGTTATTGGTGCTTATACAGGCACAGGTTAGTTTTTATTTTGTTGTATATTAATTTATTTTTTGGTTTGTTAGGTAAACGAACTGGTGTATATGGAGGATATTTATTAGCATGTTATGATAAAGATAATGAAGAATATCAATGTATTTGTAAAGTGAGTTTGTTTTTTTGTTGTTTTTGGAAAATATATTTGAATATGATTGATTGTAGTTGGGTACTGGATTTACTGATGAATTACTTGTTTCACTTGGTCAATCATTAGACTCACATATAATACCAAAACCATTGGCTTATTATCGTTATTCTTCATCATTAGAACCAGATGTTTGGTTTGATGCAGTGAAAGTTTGGGAAGTTAAATGTGCTGATTTATCTTTATCACCTAATCATCATGCAGCTATTGGACTTGTGAGTAAAATATTTGAATTTAAATTAGAATTTTCTTTTTTTTTTGTGGTGTATTTAGGTTGATGAAGGAAAAGGAATATCTCTTCGTTTTCCTCGATTTTTACGTGAAAGAGAAGATAAGTCAATTGAAGATGCGACAAGTGCTGAACAAGTTGCTGATCTTTATCGTAAACAAGAAAAAATTAAAAGAATGAATGCTGATAATCAAATAGATGATGAAGATGATATGTATTAAAGATAGATTTTTTTTTTCTTGTAAAATTTTTCTGTTCGATGTTGAATAATAAAAACTTGAATTTCATCACAGTAAAACCTGAAAAAAAAGCATCGATTTTATGAAATGATCTGTTCGAAACTATAGTTTATTTTGTTTTGTTATGAGATTATTTCGATGAAATGAAAGAAATCTGTTGCTTTTTAAATCAGTTTTCGATTTTTCTTTTTTTCGAATATTTAAACATATTATTGAATGCGTCATTTTCTAGGATTGAAATACTCTCTTAGATGTTGTGCCGCCGCGGTGGCTCAGTCGGTAGAGCGTCAGTCTCATAATCTGAAGGTCGTGAGTTCGATCCTCACCCGGGGCATATATTTTTTTTT